AAGTGATCTTCATACTGGTGCAAAATTTGTACTTCTCTGTGTATGAATGACTATTTATCTTGAAGGGAAAATAGAGCTTCATCTCTTACTTCAGACAAAACAGACTGTAACTCAAACCTATGATTTTAAAAAAATTAGATATTCACATTCAATACAATCAATCAATCATTCAAAGAGGCTAATGCCAAGGCAAGATTTTCAGTCAAATGTCTGTGTATCCTGAGTTGGTGCCCACAAGAATGTAAAGGTGACTAGACCTATGCCAGTCCTGGTGCAGTGAATGGCTGAACAGGTTGTCTTGCCAATTGTATCTAATGATAGACTATGAGGACCTATACAAAAGGTGCTAACACTCCAAGATATTGGACAGAGTCCAGGTTTTGCTGCCATGCAGCAGAAACAGCAATATTGGAATATATTTTGGTTCTTTAAGAACCAGTATTTCCAGCTACTTTTGTCCTGTGAATCCATTGCTAATACAGCCAAGCCACTCCATCTCTTGATTTCCATCTCTGACAACCGTGTTATGAACTACAAAACCCAGATATATAAAACTCTGTGACTTTGATGTCTATGCTGCAGGTATGTGCCAACTAAGCAGGTTCTCAAAGCTACCACACTTTACAACACCTAGAGTAGCAATGGCTTCTGATTCTAGTCTTTGTCAATATTTTATCAAATCTCAGGATCCTTCAGTGATACACAATGTACTGAGTGAACTGCCAGAAGGAGGTTGATGTAGGCTGCAAGCAGCAAAAAAAAAATCAGATTCAGAAAAGCACTCTAAATGACTCAATGAACAGGATTTTAAACCATTTTGGATATATGAGTGAATCTACAAAACTCAAGTCTCTGCCTCAGTAAATGATACAATCTCAAAAGAAAGAGAGTGACTCCCTTGTCTAACATGCTGAGCCTTGATAATTGCTGCAGTTCAGCAGTCCCCTTTCTTCTTCCAGGGAGGGATGACTATGCCCCTCAGCAAAGTCAGGAAAATGGTACCTGATTACCAAATGACAGCCAGTAAAGCATGCAACCTTCAAGTCTTGGACTCATAACCAGACTTCAGCAGTTCAGAAAGAAAGCTGCAAATAACTGATGCTTTACCACCATTCAGTTTGAAGATTACCCCCCTTCTAAAAAAAAACTAAAACAGAGATGATATGTCAATCTCCTGTGCAAACTATAGTCATCTGTGAAGAGGGTTTAAAAAAAACAGGTACTTCATGGAAGAAAACTATTTACCATGGAAGCATTTTTCACAAGTTTATATGCACTGATAGTGCAAAAGGAGTGATGGAGATACCTCTACTACTAACAGCTGATGTCTACTGGGATGGCTTTGGCTGTTCCCTGGAGATAGTGACTATTGTTGTTGTCTAACCAGTAATAGGTGAAAGCACAATCAATAATTGGCCCACACATATGTCTTCTCCACTTCTAGTCATTTCTCTTCCTGTGACAGTTGATCATTCTGTCACAAGGAACAGAGGTTCCAGTCCCTACTAGGATGGTCTGTCTGAGGTAAACGTTGGGCAGTCACTCTGCCATCTTTACGTAATCTTTATATGATAAAATTGTTTTACTTATAAATAACTCATTTCTCTTGGTTACTATCTTAGTTTTGAAAACAGATATAGAATAACAAAATTATGGAGTATTATGAAAGAACAATAAATTCAGACTCAAGCACACACACAAAGAAATGCTTCCACATCAAAATAGATTAGTCTGGTGCTTGGAATATCTGCCGATATGACTTAATAAGTGAAACTACTGAATCGAAAGTCTTGTTTCCTATGATTTCTTTTTCTATGACAAAAAAAGAAAAGAAAAAGAAGAAAAAGTGAGCTTTTATATCCACTATAAAAGGAGGAAAAAAAAGGAATAGCTGTGATAATAAGTCAAAAGGAAACTCTTACTGGAGTTCTCACTGCTGTCCTCAGATGCGGTCTGTGATGGATAGGAGGACGTGGAGAGCTGCCCCCAGACACAGCAGAAGGGGTAAGAGCACTGCGCAGAGGGAAGTTGAAGTTACGGATGATTAGGGTAAAGTCATCTCGCGTTGTTATATTTCTCTGCTTGGTGAGATAATTATCATGGTGCAGACGGACTACTTTGTCAACCACAGTCTGAGCAATGCTTGTTAGAGTTGGCTGCTCTACAAACTAGAAAAAGAAAAGAAAAATCAAATCAAATATAATAATCACATAAATAGACAAATCTTAATTGCTTTCTTAAATCCCTAAACATCTCATAACAATATTTTAAAGTGTTCGGAAGAACAGAGATAATAGTAATGTAATCCCTAATTTATGAACTGCGAAAACCATTATGTATGAGAAATGAAAAAATAACTAATTAGCAGTTGCACATGTGAAAAATTTGATGCATGTGCTTATGTATACATCTCTTCATAAATCTAATGTTCAAATAATGTAAAATAGTAAAGAAAAAATTCCATGAATCCCACAAATACTAACCTGTTCAACAACCATCT